TTGATCCAGTCAGACTGCAAAATATGCAATATTGGGAGCCTGTGCCCCAACATGGTCTGGGTGAACCATAAAACAATATGGCTCTGGAAAGACTGTATTATAAAAGACTAGAAGGTAGATGAACTCTTACGCACAGAGTCCTATCTTAATTAACGTACCATTTCCCCGCATGCCACCAAACCACGGAGAGAAAGGGGCTTAAAGCTTCTTCTACACCATAAATTTTATTCCATATATGCTAAAATGAGACTTTAAACTGATAAAGTTACATCAGTAAACCTCAATGTGGTGACAGTCATAGTTGTGTAAGTGGTGAGGCCTTTTCTTTTCCCTGTTTATGGTTTAGCCGCATGTTGCACAGGAAAGCTAATCCAGAAAAAGACACTCTTCTGCCCGAGTAAGAGTGACCCCCAGCAGGTTATACTCTATGGTGTAACTGGTAAATCTCTGCCATGTAGACAAGCCCCAGGACAAGTGTTTTACTGGGCTAGGAATACTACAGAAGGAAAACTTTCCCTAGTGTGAATGCACCGTATACGAGCAAAGCTGCACTGTATTGATAGAGTAAAACTGTGCCCTATGAGTAAAATAAGCTATACTAGAAAAACCTGGGCTTTGCCACTGTAACTGAGGGTACGTCTAGACTACATGCCTCTGGCGACAGAGGCATGTAGATTAGGCTACCCGACACAGTAAAATGAAGCGGCGATTTAAATAATCGCCGCTTCATTTAAATTTACATGGCTGCCGCGCTGAGCCGACAAACAGCTGATCAGCTGTTTGTCGGCTCAGCGCGGCAGCCATGTAAATTTAAATGAAGCGGCGATTATTTAAATCGCCGCTTCATTTTACTGTGTCGGGTAGCCTAATCTACATGCCTCTGTCGCCAGAGGCATGTAGTCTAGACGTACCCTCAGTTACAGTGGCAAAGCCCAGGTTTTTCTAGTATAGCTTATTTTACTCATAGGGCACAGTTTTACTCTATCAATACAGTGCAGCTTTGCTCGTATACGGTGCATTCACACTAGGGAAAGTTTTCCTTCTGTAGTATTCCTAGCCCAGTAAAACACTTGTCCTGGGGCTTGTCTACATGGCAGAGATTTACCAGTTACACCATAGAGTATATATTAGGGGTTTCTTCTGCCAACACAGTTACGTCAGCCAAGATCACTCCTCTTCACACACCTACCAGACATAGCTATGCCATCAGAAGGCTGTAGTGTACACCTAACCTTAGTCATTTCAAACTAGAGTGCACCAGGCAACACTTGCAAGGGGGAGGAATAGAGAATGTTCTAGTCAGGCCCACAGATGGGGGGAGGCAAAGGGGACAAGTGCCCTGAGGCCCTGCAATTGTGGCTGCTATTACAACAGTGGCGGCTGGAACCCTGGACCCTTTAAATTGCCACTGGAGTCCTATGCGGCACGCTCTTTGCAGCTCTGAGGGCTGCCAGGGGGACAAGTCGCAGTACAGTCCAGGTGGCGAAGAGGGCTGGCTGCCCCAGGACCATCCTTTCCACTTGAGGCCTTGCCCCTTCCAGCAGCATGGAGCAGCCCCTTTACCCAGGTGTCCAGCATGTCATCTCCCCCCCGCCCCTCCCCGGTTCGAGTCTCCCTCATATCATAATGCTATGATTCTATGACTTAAATTCCAAAACATTTGTGGTCCCTACACTTTATGATCTTCTCTCTGGAAAGCATTTTGCAGTACTGAAGAGGCTGTCCAAGGCTACATCTACACTGGGAAGGTCTGGCAACTTTAGCATCACACAATAACATCTGATGTCAAAACACTGTGGTGTTAGACAGCGATAGTGAATCAATGATTCTGAATTTCTCCTGCAGAACAAACTGAAGAGTTACCTTGTCTAAATCCACTTAACCATTAATATCACAGAATGTCCAGGTCTCTGGCTGCATATGGCAAAAAGCTTTGCTGACTCAGGGTATATCTACACTACGGAGTTTTGTTGATAAATCTTATGTCGACACCCAAAAGTTGACAAAACAAAAATCACAGGAGAGATCTCCCTATTAGGCACATGGGTTATGTGCACACTTGCTCTCTGTCAACAGATCATGTTCAAATCAGGGACACCATAATCAACAGTGTAAGTAATTCACTACGGGTATGTATGTCAGAGTGCAGTGTTGTGAGAAGGCCGAGCTGATCTCTGTGCTTCATAGGAGGCTGTAGGAGAACTCAGAGGAAATCCCAAGCTTCCAGGGGCATGAACAGCTCAGTAAGCTCTTCTTGCTGAAGAATGTCAAAGCAGCACAGCATCTGCCCCCCTCTCCTACAGCAGCAGTCTGCCTGCCATTGTGTTCCTAGTGCAGATCAGAACAGGAGTAGTCCAATGATTTGTTCTTTGTTACCCAAAGGGAGCGGCTCACTCAGCTGTCAAATACTTCCTGGAGCTTTGAAAGAGGAAGGGTGCATGTCTGCAGGGCAGCAGAGATCACAAAACACTGAGCACAGCCACCAAAGCAGGCATTATGGCATACTGGCAGAAGCCAGTTCTGTCGACAAGACAAACAGCAGAGTCTGACTCTTTGATGACAATAAAAGTAAGGGAAAAGAAAAAAGTCTCTGGTAGGGGTGGATGTTTTTGTCACCAAAACTAGTTGTTTTTCCCAACAAAAGTCACATTGCAACGCAACCTGAATGCTCTCACTGTTTGGTTAACAATAGGAAGTTTTTGACTACAAAAGTTGGTAGTGTAGACAAAGACGCAATTAGAGTTAAGGTTTGTAAATATATATCAATTGCCAAGGGCAGAGTGGAGAACAAAGAGTACTTTAGCTTTCTCAGAAAGAACAAACACTCTAGACAACTTGGAAATTCAAAATTACCTCCCTCTGGCAGCCCAGATATCTAAACATTGCTTCTTATGTCTCTGTTTGCATAGTAATCTACTTGATGGTTTAGCCAGGCTGCTTTTGTTTTTCTTATGCTAATCATTTACCTCAGCTCCCTTTTAATCTTGTCCTGGTAGATTCCCTCAGATCTTCCACAAATGTTTTGTGATTACTAGTGAATCTCACAAATCTTTCGTTACTTTGCCCAAAAACGTTCTGGAAAAAGTGTGTGCTAAAAAGTTTAGACCTAGGAACTAGCTTCTACTGCAGAGGAATCTGTGTCAAGTAGCTGTGAAGGTTGACTATGGAAGGGAGGTGTGGCTAATCATGCACAACTCATCCTGCATTTTGGAAAATGGGATTTTAAATTCGAGAGAGTAAAAAGGGCTTTTACCTTTTAATATCAAACTCCGCTTAGATGTTAAGCTCCTTGGGTCAGGGACTATCTTTTTGTTCAGTGTTTACCTAGCAAAATGGGATCCTCATCTATGACTGGGTCTACTTGGAACTGTGACAATACAAATAATGCACAATAATAATTTACTTTCAAATATTTGTGTTATTCCTTCTGTCCACGTTTTCTACAAGATGTTGAGTGAAAGGTCAAAAGGAAGTAAAAAGATATTGCCAAAATGGAGATTGTTTGTGGTAAATCTGTGGAATTTGTTTTCCACATGGCCTGTCAATCTGGAGCAGATTAGCTCTGTAGCAATGGATGCCCCTGTGCTCCCCTCCATACCTCTGCTGACCAGACACTTCTTCCTTCCCCTTTAGGTTGACTAGTGCTCAGGGAGCAGTCTTTAGGGAGATATTCAAGAAAGTTATTCTGAATTAACTTTTAAAGTGGATTAGTTAAATTGTATTAACCCCCCATGTCGTCACTCCTAAAGCGTTCTGAATTCAGTTTAGTTTAAATCATGTTCAAAGAGCTTTAAGCTAAACTGAATTAAGGTTATGTTAATTCTAAATGAGGGTTTTCACACAAGGATTTAATGCAGTTTAATTAACCCAATTTTAATTGAAAACTTTAATTCAGATTATTTTTCCTGCATGTTCCAGTGTAGACAAGCATAATTTACTTTAAAATTAATTTGAATTAATTTTCCTGAATAGTCACATGTAGACAGGCTATCACTCAAGAGAGCACAGGAACTATAATTGTTCCAGCCCTTCTGGGTGGGGAGACAAAAAGGAAAGAAGATCCTATCTCTGTCTCTTCTCTTTGATCTTCTGTACAGCAGCTGGCTCCAATCTGGCCCTTTACTTCTTTTGTGAGACGGTGGCTATCTGAACCTTTAATTTCAGCTCTTCCCTCAGAAATGTTTCCATTATTTCTTCCAACATTTGATCTATTAGGACTTAAGTGAAAGGTCAATTTTTTAATTTTTTTTTAAATAGCATTTACCAAAAGGCATCTTATTGTAGCTCAGAAGGGCTTTTCCTCCACCATCCAGCTGCATCATGCAGCAACTCCAACTGGCAGTTAGGACTGTAGTGTCATTAAACCTTGTTTACATTGAATCAGTGCTTTTGTTTAACTGGAAATTAGAAGAGATGATTCTCTTAAATTCATTTTACAGTTATGGAGGACCAACAGGACATTAAATTTACATGTGCTAGGTCAAAAGGGACACAGATAACAAGAAACACATTGAGCAGTCTTGTGACACCTTACAAGACCACTCATTGTTTTTTAAGTTACAGACTAACATGGCTACCCATCTAAGAAATACACTGAAACATTCCCCTTTTCTTCCCCCTCCCCAATTCACACGTGCACACATAATAAAATTCAGTTAAAAAAAACCATATTTTAATAAACCAGGCTAACAGTTGGTTTGATGTTTCAATTAGTGGTGCATGTGCAGCACAGTTTGCATATGTAATTATCTGGAAAAACATTTCCAAGATTCACTATGAGGTCCTTGCAAATCACCCTTGAACATAAACAGGATTGGCTTCAATGGGAGTTTTGCCTTAGTAAGGAATGAAGGAACTGTCCCTTTGTTTTGTTAGAGTAAATTTATATGGGAAATCAAATCATTTTTCTAATGTGGTGTTTGTTGTAATATGCAGATATTGTATGAAACATTTACTGCTTTTAATATTTGTATTTTATCTATATACTCTAACTAGCGCACCATGGGCTGTAAGACTTTTTGCCAAGACATCCAGTATTTCTGTAGGGGACTTTGCTTCAGATCTGTGTGATTTACGCAGTACTTTTTCTTCTAGTGGGTCCTGCTCATCTAATTTAAATCCAGATATTGCTGTAAGACACAAGAAAGGTCATAAACATGGCTTTTAGATTATTAACATTTGCTATTGCTACTGTTGGGGAGGCAGATTTCACAGAAACACAAAATTCCTGCCTGCTGAGCTGCACTCCAGAGTCCTACGTATTTCAGCAAACGACCCTATGCAGATAGGATTGCCAGATGGTTTACCCAAAAATACCAAACCCTCCCGCAAAACAAAACACCGAGGAAAAAAGGGGAGACCAAAGTTGTTGAGCAAAAAAAATACAAAAAATAAAGCAGCATTAAAACAGCATGGCCCCTTTAAGAAAAGTCTTTAGGCTTTTTGCCGGCAGCCATCTTGTTTTCTTGATTGGAGCCAGAAGGCAGCTTTCCTGCAGAAGATTAAAGGCCTCTATCTCTCTGACAGGTAAGCGTAAGCAGTAGCAGTACAATTGTCCTCATCAGACTCCTCAATGCTGACACCAAGGGTATGTCTAGACTACATGGCTCTGTCGATGGAGCCATGTAAACTAGTTTACCTGGCATAGGCAAAGAAGCGGGGATTTAAATAATCCCTGCTTCATTAAAATAAACATGGCAGCTGCACTGTGCCGCCGATCAGCTGATCCGGCACAGCGCGGTAGTCTAGACGCAGATCGGTCGGCTGGGGAAGCCTTTGCCGACCAATCTCTTATGCCTCGTGAAATGAGGCTTACGGGATCTGTCAGCAAAGGCTTTCCCAGCCAACCGATCCACGTATAGACTACCGCGCTGTGCCGGATCAGCTGATCGGCGGCACAGTGCAGCTGCCATGTTTATTTTAATGAAGCAGGGATTATTTAAATCCCCGCTTCTTTGCCTATGCCGGGTAAACTAGTTTACATGGCTCCGTTGACGGAGCCATGTAGTCTAGACATACCCCAAGAGACCACATCTAGCAGGAACAAGATAGTTCCACTTTCATGTTCATCCTTAGTCTGGCTTTCAACAAAGATGCCAGTTAAAGCGGGGTAGTTTTGTGATGTGGACACTTGCCCATTAAGAAATGGATTGAACCCATAAACTCATTTCATATGTGCTACTAAATTTCACTTAATATTCTATTTGCATACTCAGATCTTGGAATGTTGCCCCATGGAATTCCTTTGCACGTTGGACTGGATTGTACCAGTTCAGTGAGACTTTTTTATTTTTTCAGGTTGTCATTTTGTTCTCCAGAACCTCAGTTTTCATTAAAAAATATGACTCCAGCTTTTATAGGGTGACCAGAAATTCCGATATTGGGACTATCCTGAAAGAGCTTTGACTTATGTATATAGCTATATACCCCATACTCATCTCCCCAAAAAAAGTCCCAGGTTTTCACTCATGCTATTTATCACCCTAAGGTATCATGATTGTGGAAAAACAAAACCCTTCAAAATAGGAAGCAAGTATTTCAAAAGCAAATGTCAGCCGGAGTTTGCAAAAAGCATGAAACAGTAAGCCCTGAGAAATGGGAGTCATCTTACATTTAGAAAGGGATGTTAATTTAAAGGCCCAGTGATGACATGTTGAGGATGATCCATGTCCTGTTTCAAATATATTCCAATAACCAGAATTGTTGACTCAAGTCCCACGACTTGAACTTGAGTCCGACTTAAGTTGCCTAGATGACTCGAATTGAGACTCGACTCGGGTTCATTGTTTGTGACTTGAGACTCGTCTTGAGACTTGCTAATTCTGTTAAATCGACTTAGTGAAGAAATTGTCCGAAAATGCCGATATTGATGGCTTGTACAAAAGTGACTTGACATTTTTTAAATTAAGACTTGAGACTCGATTTGGGACTTGAACTGTAGTGACTTGAGGCTTGACTTGGACTTGACAATGATGACTTGAAGACAACACTGCCAATAACCAGAACAAATGCCTGAACAGCCTAAGGTGTATCCCATTGAAGGTAGAGGCAGGTTTTCTGGATTTTGATCTAAAATACCTCAATTCTCTTGAAATTTGGGGCATGGTACCAATCCCATCTATGGTCCTATAGATTTTGAGAAGGATTGGAGATTGTTATCAGATGTGTCTGCAGGTGAGAGGCAGGAAGGAATTTCCTTGTTTTCTTTTTATTGGTCGGTAATTTGTAGCTCAGAGGAGGTTGAGACAAAATTGATGGATTAGTTGTTGACAGGGATTGTATGTCAAGTATCTGTCACCTAGAGCCTAACATTAATAATCCTTAGCTCCTATAAAGCACTTTTTGCCGATATAAATACACAAATAAAATAATAGCCTGAAATGAAAAATTGCCTTGTAAATAACATGCAGACCACACTGCATTTATATGAAATGTTTCCTCTCTAATTACTTCCCTTTTTTCTTCTGTCCAAAGGGCGGGCTATAATCTGCCCCATGCAGCATGAGCATTCTGGGGACAGAAGCCTCTTTTTGTCTAGCTTGTTCACACAACAGCAAGACAGGATAGTGATGAATGCAGTACAGACAGACTTGAACAAGAATGAGGTAAATTTTTAAGTAGGCTTTTTCTTGTTTATAAAATTTAATAAACAGTTGTAGGAGAGGAAATAGAATTTGCTTTTCCTGCTATAAATCAGTCTGAAACAGTAACAGCGCTAAACCAAAAACAAACAAACAAACAAAAAAGCCACCCTTTAACCTTCAGTTTTTCTGACCATTCCCTCACTCAGTCATTCCATAGTAATAGAGAGGTAGCCGTGTTAGTCTGATCTTGCTAAAACAAAAGGAAAAACTATGTAGCAATTTAAAGATTAACACAATGGTCTAATAGGTGATGAGCTTTTGTGGGCCAGACCCACTTCCTCAGAATTGAGGAAGTGGGTCTGGCCCACGAAAGCTCATCACCTATTAGACCATCTTGTTAGTCTTTGAAGTGCTACATAGTTTTTTCTTTTGTTTCAGCCATTCCATGTCTCTCTAATCTCCCTTGACCATTGTTTTTTTCCTGACCATTCTATCTCTTCCAATCTCTTTACAATCACAGTTTAATAAAGCTCATTTAGCATTGCACACCTAGGAACTTTTTCTTCAAAAAGAAAATGTTCAGTAAGCTGTTTTCTTTCCCACTGTTTTCTTTCCCATATTACCCTATAATATGTATGCAGTAGAAAAGACATATTCCTAGCAAAGTACATACAGCCTCTGGGAACACAGTGTGTACTCCTTGAATATTGTTTTTTAAAATGTCAACTAACCTGATTCTGTTCTCTCTTACTTTGGTGTAAATCAGGAGAGAAACTCATCTGAGGTAAATTGTGTTATGTTGGTGTAAAACCAGTGTGAAATCTGACTGCTATGTAGTATTCTTTTCTACTAATTTAAATGATTTGCAGTAAGTCTAAATATAAAATGTGAAACCGTTTGAGTTTCTGAAATATTTTTTTTCCTTAGCTGTTTCCCAGATGAGACCCCAGGTTTTCACCATATTTCTATCTTCAAACATATCCCCTGCCACTTCTTGAACTGCACAGCAAAGGAAAACTGGCAACTTCAAGAGCAGTAAGCATTCCCACCCACTCAGAGTGCATGCACATCTACTCTTTGATGGGGCTGACCTCTGTTGAACTGGGAGAAGGCTACTGCTTCTGAACTAACATTTCCCCCAGAGCAATGAATTAATTCCTGACAAGTGACTACTGACAACTGACACCTACCCAAAAGATGGAAATAAGCACTTCAGTGGAAATATTTGTAACCCATGATAGGAACGGCCCAGGGCTTTTAGTTAATGTTTATATATTTTACTCGGTGACAACTGTAAACTGCTGATTAGGAATTTGAACCCAAATTTCCCTAGTCTGAGGGAATTTAGATCTGAGTGTTCAGTTTGGTTCACTATTGAGATAAAAGAAAGGTGTGAAGGCTTGAGACAAATCCAAATTTCCCTAATGATTAGGGATATTTTGGTTCAGACATCTTTAGTTAATAATGCAGCTCCTTTATTCCTCCCTGCGCCTGTAACTGTCTGCCACAGGCAAGCTTGTCCCTGTTGCCAGCCAAAATACAAGGATTACCACAATGAATAAATCAATCAACTCAATAAACCAAAATAAAATCCTGCATTCATGCACATTCATTCATTTTAAAATGTCTTGTAAAGTTTACTCCGTACATTTTGGCCTGAAAAATCTTTATTTCAGACACCGAATTTCATACAGTGTGAATGTAGAGTTTCATATAGTTAGACCCAAACATCTCATCTGTCCTGACTGTGATCTTGCACATTCTCAAAACACACACTAATGTAACGAAAATACCACTCCATGCTCATTACGGCTTGTCCATACCATGTGGGATTTCTTGCACTGGTGTAATTATAGCAGTGCAGCTGTAACAGTTCAAATCCATCTGTAGACATGATGCATCAGTAGAAAAAGTGACTTTCCTGTGAGACTGCCCATTATCAGAGACAAGATACTGGAAGAGATGGACCATAAACCTTAGACTGATGTTGTCATCCCCTCGCTCCTATAATGTTACATGTAGCACTGGTGTGAAGAATGACTTGCTTGCAGTAAACTGCACTCATGCATGCCACTTTTTACATCAGTGCTGCCAGTGTAAATCAGCAAATCTCTGTTGGCTTCAGTGGAGTTACATGGATTTACACTACTGAGAAGCAAGTGCCTGGAACTGACAGTAAAACATCACTGGGATAGCTACACCAGGGAAATCTTCCTTCTGCCCCTCCCCTGCAGTGTGCTCACACCCTCAGTCATAGGCTGAGTTTTGGATTATATTTACAAGCTCTCTAATCAAGAATCTGATCACATTTTTTAACACAACTGCCCACTGGGCTAAATAAGTCTGGAATTCTGTTTCTATTATTCTCTTTTCAATTTAGAGAGATCATACTAGTTTTCCAGATATTGCTGATAGGTTACAAAAGATATAGCATGAGGTCACTTTAGCTGATTGTATCTACTGACCAGAGGATCTGAATGCGCTAATTCAGCTTCATGATAAACAGGTGGAGCAACTTTTTGCAATGCAAATAGCTAGCAGGGTCCAC